CACTGGATGGTCTTGAAGGTCCCTTCCAACCTGAACCACTCTATGATTCTGCATTCCACCCCTCCTGGTGAATGCTGTCTAGTGTGGTCTGAGAGATTTCCAGATATTTTCTTCTTCTCACTCCCATTTTGGTTAGGTGTAGGGATTAAAAGAGAAAACTATTCAGGCTGCTGATGACCAATGTATGAAAAACATCTCATGTTCTTCTGTTTAGCAGCACTGATGAAGGTGAGAATGGTGTGTCATGGTCTTTTGCGTAGCTGCTTGACAGGTGGCTAAGAAAATAACCTGTTACGCTGATATCACTTGTAAGGAGAAATAATTGGTTCTGTCAGATTTGCAATAAGAGTTCTGCTTTCCTTTCTACCTGGACATTTATTAGTGACCGCCCAGGCTATTAGTGTGTCACTGATCTCACCTGAAAACACTGGGTTCATTCTTCTGCCTCCACAATTAAAATGCATTTATACTGATAATAATGAGGAAAAAAAAAATCAATCTGATTGATCTGGATTTTGTACGCAAGTACATCAGATGGCCTGGCTGATATTGTTAGGACAGCTCTACTTCCCCCATATTCCCCAAATTCCTAGACCGAATTTCTGCTACCCATGAGCCAAACGCTGCTCTCACTATTGGAAGTCCTTGTGTGAAAGATGGCAGAACTCAGCCATTTTTCCAAGAGATTCTGTATTAAAACTTTATGTGTTCCCAGAAAGCATGACGTCTCATCATGCAAGGTGTTAAGAATATATCAATATTGTGAGACCACTGCAAGCACTTGGGATCACAGAATCACAGGATAATTTGGATTGGAAGGGACCTTCAAGCCCCCCCAGTGCCACCCCCTGCCCTGGGCAGGGACACCTCCCACCAGCCCAGGCTGCTCCAAGCCCCCTCCAACCTGCCCTTGAACCCCTCCAGGGATGGGGCAGCCACAGCTTCTCTGGGCAACCTGGGCCAGGCTCTCACCACCCTCACAGCAAAGAAATTCTTCCCGAGATCTAATCTAAATCAACCAGCAAATTTTAAAATTAAAATCATGAAACAAGCAGCAATAATAATTGCTAACCCACTTGTCTGTCAGAAAAGACCTCCAGTCTCACCCAACATTTTTTTCTGTACTAAAAATTTGTGGTTGGCATCCCAGCTGCCCCTGGATGCCATTTCCAGTTTACAAGAGGAAGGTTGGGGTCTCCTCCAGATACTGAAGCTGTGCCTCATTTTGCCCAGGGAGCTGGCTGGACCTCTCACAGTTCTTTTTGCAAAGCAACTGGCTCTGCCATCTCCCAGCATCACTGCCCTGTTGATCCACTCCTCGTCAGGGGCGGGATGCTCAGCAGCATCTCACTGACACCAGAAGCCACCAAGACAGGTCCTGGTGACAGCAACAGCCGGGCAGAAACAAGTGGTTCACAGAGGATGGAAAAAAAAAAAAAAAAGAAAAGCAATTTTATTTAAGAAAATAACTGTTCATAATTGGGCCTCTGTCACTTTAAATTTTAATGATAATAGTAGTACTGGAACTTTAAATTACAGCTTTCAGTGGCTTCATGCTGAATCTCTCAATTACTCTCCGTAACTCCCTTCCCGGCGCGTGTGCGCCACGACACTGATAGTGCCATTCAAATCAGAATTCCCAACCAATCAGAGGGCTGCCAGGTATGGATTGCACGGATCCATCACCAGCAAACAGGAGGGCATACAGAGGGGTGTCACTACCAGGCCTGGGAAAACCCTGGTAAACCTCATGCAAAAAGAAAAAAAGTTTAAAAATTGCATATTTTTGGCACTGGGACAGTGTCCAGCCCACCCGCCTCTCTCCCCACGGCAGGCACAGCCCTCGGTGCAAGGGGAAGAGAGGAAATGAGTCAAAAGGGACTTTTGCCACTATTTTTGGGGTGGCCGTTGGGGTTGCCACTGCACGGAGCAGCTGGAGACAGCAAAGTGATAGGGGCCTCACAGCTGGGATATGGTGGGAGAATGGGGAAAAGTTTTCCTTCCAAGAGAGCACACCTATATAAAGAGCAACCCAAGAGGATGGGGGAAAAGTAGGAAAAAAGGAACAAAATTTTAGGTGTGTTGCATTTTGCTGCAAATTAAGTCTGTTTTACAGATTTTGGCTGTTACTCCAAGCTCTGTTCTATTATTTAACCTGCCATTCTAGTATTTGTGCATACCTGGTGCCCAGTCCCTTTGTCAGCAGCTCCAGCCCTCAACTTAAAGACGGGCACGAACCCAGCAAGGGGAAATGCTCAGCACCATACAACCTGAAAATACATCCTTAAACTCCAGAATGGTAGAGGGGGTCAAAAATTATTGCCATGAAACGGGTTGTGGGAGCGACCAGCTTTGAAAAGGCCTTTGGTAAAGGAAGAAGAAGAAGAATTTCGCGCCAGTTGGACCTTAGGTTGATGGAAGCCAGAAGTGGCTGAGCCCGACAGTTTACAATAAGTAGGTGGGAACAAGAGACCACTTTGTCCTTCCAGTCACCCTGCCCGGATAACTGGAAATCTGCATACGGTGGCTTAACACCAGCTCAGACAGGGCTCCTATCTATTCCCACTCCCAGCCTGGATGAAAAGCACGGGGATGGAGGTCACATAAACTTGCTCTGTTCCTGCAGTTCAGGACTATTTGCATAATCCAAGCTTTCGTTTTAAACAAATTAAGTGCCTGGCACTTTATGGTTGTGAAGAAACCTCCCCGAGGTGTGAGTGAAGGATGGAGCCACTGAAAAAGCAAAGTCCACGGCAGGTCGGGTGGGAAATGGCAGAGGAGGAGGAATGAATGCTTCATAATGTAAACAGAAGTGCAAGAGACGGGAATTTTTTCACATTTTATTAAATCAGACTTTTACAGTAGTTGTTGAAAGCAAAAAACACTGAATTATATTTAGATAATCGTTCCATAAATAATGCGTGTTTTCACAGCAGTCACAAAGTCTGGAATTTATGTGCTAATTACAGACCCCAAATCATCTCTGCACAGATTTGCAATTAAAACTGAAATATTTTCATATACAATGTGAGCCCTGTATTCATAGCAACAGCTAAGAGACATGCTGGTTGCAGTTTGCTCAGTAAATCTGAATATTTTATGTTTGAACACAATTGTTTCACTATTGTTGTCCTTACGTTCGGTATTTTAAAAGCTGAAAGAGTTTAAAGGCGAGTGCCACATTGTAGATTGCTATTCCTTTTAGAAAAAAATATTCTCTATATAGTAATGTATATACTGCAACAATCTAAGGGGACAAACGATTATTGAAAGACACAGAGAAAGCAAAATTCCTGCGTATGGTTATCTTCTTAATAAATATTGTAAAAACACATACTTTTAAAACCCTGCAGTGACAGCAAAGTGCAGGAAGAATGCAAAATTAGGGAGAACGTTGAATAATTCAGTAGCTTGTTATGTGATTAGATCTGATTGGCCCACGCTAAGATGCTGCCCATAAAAATGATTTCCCATGGTAGCATTGGTCTAGGGGTGGGGGGTTTATGATGTCCATAAAATGGAAGAACAAGGCTTATGTCCATAAAATGGAAGAACAAGAACTGGAACTAATAATATCATGGCTGCGCAGAATGATTGATGATCTTTAAAAAGGCCCAGATTGGTTTCATCTTTCTTCAGATTTTATCACTCACTCTTCCTTAGTCACGTGCAATCACTAAGGCCAAGAGAGGTAACAAGTGTTTGATGTATGATACTTGAGCCACTTTTGTCAGAACTGCATTTATTTTAAACTGCTCTCGTATTTGATACTTCCAACATGTAGATGTTCTCTGTGTTTATTTTTTCTCCAGCTGATGAGAACAGGCACTCCTGGGGTTGGGTCAAGAGGTAAGCCAAGCTCGTGTTAGAGCAGCGGTGCCAAAAATCGCAGTAAAAATTAAACAGATCCTCCTTCCTTGCACTGGGACCATTTCCATTACTGATTAAATGGATAAAGAGCTGCGCGGGGCTGACATCTTCTTGGGAGAACCTCATATCCTTTATTATTTGCAGTACGCGCACACCTTTCAGAATACTACTTACGCTTCTTGGAATACATTATCCCTTTCAATTTACTCTATCCTTCACAACCTGCAGAGAGCCACAAAAGCTCCTTTTATGTCAGAAGAAATTTCAGACGAATAAGGGGAAAAAATACTTAATTTAACCAATTGGGAAAAAAAAGGGTCATTTCCACTTGTTTCTGCAAGCTCACACATCTCCTCAAATACGACAAATCAAGCCAGATATCTTAATCATTTGTTGGAAACATCCTTATCAGTAACTTATTCGTAGAGATTGCAGATGTGTGAGCTGAAAAATGTTTGGCAGGGTCCCAGAGGGGAAAGGCAGAGCATTAGAGGGTTGATCAAATAGCGGTGTGTTGGGAGTCCTGCTTATTTGGAGAACTCTCCGTTATCCCCGCCTGTTCTGCTTGGAAAAACAAGAGATAAATCAGCAGGATGTCAGGTTTCTGGGACCTGGGGCTGATGAAAACACATCTGTTTGGTTGCCTAGGTATGATGCCAAGACCGTAGGCACCCCCTGCCCCACACCTGAGTGCTTCTGGGTGGACAGGCAGGTCCTCCCGCTCCCCGCGACGTGGCCTCCTGCGGAAGCTTAATGGTTTTTGTGTTGTGACCATTTAGGGGCTGCCTCGGCGCTGTTTAGAGAAATCAAGAGCGGGGGTTCTCGGCAATTAATTTCTGCCATCAATAGTATTCCCCAACCGGGCAACTCCCCTCGGAACGGGGGATCCATAGCAGCCCAGCCAGGGAAGGAGCGAGGCAATTCATTAGACGACTCCGGCAGCAGCTAAAAGTGGCGGGGGGATGTCAGCCCCTGGCTCCCGCGCTTCAATACTAATGAGAGTCATTGCATATTCATAACCCTAAATACAGTCAGCTCCTGATAAAAAAAAAAAAAAAATTTTTTTTTTTTTTTTTTTTTTTTTTTTTTTTAGCCCCTAAAAAAAAAAAAAAAAAAAAAAAAAACTTTTGTCATCGGAGCTTCACAGCCAGAGCAAAGCCAAAGAGCTCTCCCCGTGTTGCGGCACTTCCACCCAGCCGGGCGCGCCGGAGCAAGATTGATTGTTTCGCAACGCAGCCTGACAGGGAACTAAGAGATACTGCCCCAAGGGTCCCGAAACTAAGCTTAGTTTGATTACAAGGCTCCAAGTAATCAAAGAAACAAAAGAGAGGGGGGGTGGGGGGAAGAAACGGGGGAGAAGAATGTTGTTTTGTCTTGTTGGTGGGGTTTGGGCTTGGGGTTTTGTTTTGGTTGTGTGGGGTTTTTTTATTATTATTATTATTATTTTTAAAGATAAAGGAGGCTCTACAGACGTAGCTCCCCTTATTGAGTGTTGAGAGTAATTATCTGTTAGGCGTTTAAAACAGTTCATATCAATTTTTATCAGGGAGGAAGAAGAACGGCAGGCGCTAGCAAACTTGTTCCCGTGTTGTAGGAACACTGCTGCATGTCTTAATAGATACAAATCTCTAAAACTGTATGAAGTTTCACGTCAATATGAATAGCAAAGATTAGTGAACTCAACCTGTCAGATATTAAAATCAGCTCTGCCAAGTGTTGCGCTACCCAGAATCCACTTCTTGCGGGTTCCTTTTCATTTTTGTTGTCAGCTCCGTCGCCTTCTCATCATTGTTGCTATTTTTGTTATTAGTTTTTGAGAAACTACCCGTCTCCTTGGCTGGCAGTCCAATCCTGGAGGTGCACAGCTCTGCTAGCCTTTGACCTCGCAATACCTGTCTGCTGGGGCAGCTGTTAGCATCCCCTGGAGTCAAAGAAGAGAAACGTGTGTTTCAGCACCCACTTTGAAAAAGCCTTGAGCATTTTCTCACTCATAATGATGTCTTCAGCTGGAATGCCAGCACATTTCCACATCTTTTTGACAGGCAAGCAGACTATAAAATATACATAAAATTAAATAAAACAGGACATTAACACAAAGGTTTCAAAATCTGATTACAGCACAGGGTTTGGTTTTTTTTTTTTTTTTTCAGCAATTATAAAATTGTGCATTTGGGAAAAAAAGAAAAAAGAAACATGCACGGCTCAAGAGAAATCATGAAGGATTAAGGATGGGGAGGTTTCTCTAAACTGTTAAATATCTCAGTCACATGTATACAGGCTTTGAAAATAGAGAAATCTTGTAGTTATGATTGATTGAGGTAACTGATTATCCACAGATATTTTAAGTGTTGAGACATTAAATTGTCAGCCATATCAGTTTGATTGCAGTAAAACATGAAAACATTGACTTTTGTCTAGTTAGAGAAATTTATTTTTCCCAGAATGACAATCCTTTAAGTAGAAACCAGGCAGCTTGCCAGCTCTCCATGTCATACATTGAAGTTTGCAAATGCAACCCATATTTTCAAATGTTTTTCAAGGTTCAATGAATGGTGCATAGGTCTTTGGCAAACAGTCTTGTAATAAACAGATTTCCATACACTGCTTCAATCTTCCCTAAGCCCCGTGTAGACTAGTATTTATTCATTACGAATAAATGAATGGCATAGACAGTGGTTTGAATTCAAGGTGTATACGTACGCACAGCTCCTCACTTATGTAAAACATCTCTCTAAAAGAAACAGTAACCCTCCTTGGACTGAAGCTATAGGAACAAGTTTGATTAATATGTTTTACAAGCCTGAAGTAAATGCTCATCATAACTGTCAGCAAGCTGACAGCTTTCAAAAAGGAGCCTTTGTTCCCAGAATGAGTAATTTGTGTGATCTTCTTTAAGATACCACACTCAAAACCTTAGAGGGAGAAGGTGTTACATTCAAGCGGATTCTACTCAAAATGTGATTGCTGTTAAGTCTGCTTTGCTTGATATGCACACAGCATTTGACAGGATAGTGGCTTTTTTTATTATTATTATCATTATTATTTTTATTATTTGTTGTTCTTGCTTGTCAGAACACCTCTGCTTTCTCGTTAGGCAAAGGTGTGCTCGATGAGTTTTGTACCTACATGTGCTGGAGAGCTGACACTACCTGATGCCCTGCATCACCTTTGTGCTTCCTTGTGGATTAATAGGACGTAGAGAATTACAGGATCCCTTAAAACTTACATTTGATTGGCTGAAAGTGCAAGGACGTAGACCGAAGCTTGGAGGACCACGGAGGGATGGCAGAGCTGTACCCTGTGAAGCAAAGGGAACAGCTGCTCCCTCTTTTCTAGGGTGTTAAACGTTTTCCCCTTACTGGAGTAGCAACACCTCTGCCACAAAGAATTAGGCAGTGGCACGTTGTGTCTCCAGCATTAACGAGCAAGTACCTCAAGAACATGTCAGCTGCTGAAAAATAAAACTGAGGTTACCCATTAGTGTGGGAAAATATTTCCTTCCTGACCTCTTCAGGCAAAAAAGGTTACTGTACAGCATGAGGCATTAGGTTTGATTACTTCTAGATAGCCAAACTTTGCTCTCGGTTGTATAATTTTGAAGTTGGGAAAGAGCATTTGGCTTAAATAGACCCATATTTATCTGTTGATAGGAGTAGCTACAGTGAGTAATAACAATGAACTAATCCAACCCTTTTAAAAAATCCAGTCAAAATGTTTGACATTGGTGCTGGATTCCAGTTTGATTTCCAGCCAAAGAAAGGAATTAATCTTTATTTCTTTCCATTCTTGTGCCCTTCTATTTTTGTTCTGTGGGTCTGCGTAGAACAGAGGTGCTGTCCTTTCTCATTAGTCTAGGTCCACTCAACTAGTCCTCTTTTTTCCAGATTTCCGGTAATTCCAAGGTAAGTCAGTCTCAGGCTGAGATCTGACCATTTGTTCTGCAATCCAACACACTAAATAAAACCTACGTCCAAGGTGTGTCCCCCAAGTGACAAAGATGTCCTTCCCAAAGTGAGGTGAAGGAACCTGGATGTGCTCCTACACCCAACAAAATGTGGTTAGTATGACAATATGACACTGGTACCTGTATTATTCACAGGTTTAGAGCACCCAAAAAAAAAAAAATTCCTTATTTAATTGCTGATTGAGTTATTGCTATTATTTAAAATATGGGATTGACTGAAGACAAGCTAGCTCACTGCTCCTCACAAGCAGACCTTGGATGGGTTTCCACTGGCACTATTGACATCCTGGTAGAGTCCATAGTCTGATCCCATGGGACAAAGCACAAGACTCAGGTTCTGTACCAAGAGCCCCACCTCGAGCATGGACAGACAGACAGGTCATTGTGCAGTGTGGGACCGTGTGAGGAGGTGGCCAAGACAGTCAGAGCTCAACAACCATCTCAGTTGCCCCAACAGCCTTCCACTGGCCATATTAGTTTGACAGCCTCTCTAAGCAACTTATTGACAACAGCTCTTACCTTCTCCTTCCCAGTCAGCTGTATGGACACATCCCAAGTAACACAGCAGAGGTGATTATCCATCCTCACCATGTGCCCGTGCAACTTTAATTCACCTTAAAGAGGTGAATTTCAAGGACGCAGAGGATCGATGCACTACAAATAATAAAATAATACCCAGTTAAATCTCAGGTAGAAGTCTGTTCTTTCCTTCACATCTAGTTATTTCCTTAAACACTGTTTTTAGCTTATCCTTACCATAAGATGTTGGAAAGACCAGGATTTTTAATTTCTTGTCCACCTTTACCTGTTTTGCCCCAATTCATCTCCTGTTGGCAGAAGCAGCATTGTTTTGGTCCTGATTCTCCTCCGCTATCATCTTCTCTCGAAGAACTCAACAGTTTTCCAAACCCCATAATGAGCCTCAAATTTCACACCATTTTTTAAAAGAAACTCAAAACCCCAAAGTTAATAGTTTTAGTGCCTTTCAATCACTAAGAAGGGGGATGGGAGATGTTATATATTATTATTACTATCTTAAAAAGACAATGTATATTCCCATCTATACATACTGTACTTAATAATTTTCTTGGTTCAGAATTCTGGAGGGAGATCATTCAGTCCTGGTAATTTGCCATTACTGAATCCCTCAAATTGCTCCATCATTTTCATGCCATACATCAGCCTGTTAAGGCCACATTTTTATTTCCTGTGAAAAGTGACCTTGGAATAGAATTCAGAAACAAAAATACATTAAAAGAGTGGGGGAGCTGATTCACTAGAAAAAGGTTAAGTTCTGAGTATTATTACGTGTTGACAATGAGGAAATGTAATAAAAGTCCATAAATATTTGAGGACTTTTAAGAGTAATCGTGGAGAAAAAAAATTGCTGACTTTCTCATTAAAATATTTATCCTGATGTATCTGTGTTATATATATATATGTCTTATTTCAGACGCTGTAGAGTGGTAACTGTTGTTAACTTTAATTCTTTAATCACAACTACTGTAAGACAGTCAGCTGAGATAAAGGGGTGAAAATATGAACAATAAAATAGAGGGCAATGTTTGGAACTTTTATTTGAAGGCATAATCCACTGAACTATGCTGCAGCATCCCAGATTAATTTCCAGAATCACCATTAACTAGATAGAACTCCAGTGAAATGTATGGTCAGAAACAGCCCTCCTTTGATATGGGGAATAACAAGGTGGAGAAAGGAAGACATGAAGGAACAGAGAAACTCAACATCTGACCCGGCTGTCCCCTTGCTTCAGCATGTAGTACTGTCTACACGTGTACCACTTGCACTGGTAATTAATTTAATAATACAATATCTGTTCTAGGGATCTCTGGCTATTTTTATTTCTCATAGCTTCTTTGATCTTTTACTCTTAACTGCTCCTGGCCTCTCAATGTTTGTGCTAATCTATTTATGTTACCTGGCAAGATTTCAACTCTGAAATTGCTTTGAGTTCTCGAGGTCCCACCTTAGCTTTATACTTTCCTAAACCAAAATTAAAACAAATAAAGCTGAAGCAGGACTGTTTCCAACTGCTTTGGGGGAAGCACGAAGTCATAGGAATTATCACTAGCTTACTCCACATGAGTGGCCCTCACTTGGTTTAAAAACTGAAAGTCCCATGGAAAGGTGGACCCAAATAAGATTAAGTAATCACAATTAAATCCATGATAGAGCCATGTAATAGTTTCAAGTGTATTGATTGCAGATTTATTTCTTATTTCATTGTTTGCACTCATGTACCTTATATTTTGATGACACCAAGCTGAGTGATGCAGTTGACACACCTGATGGACAGGATGCCATCCAGAGGGACCTGAACAGCCTCAGGAAGTAGGCCTGTGCCAACCTCATGAGGTTCAACAAGGTCAAGAGCAGGGTCCTGCACCTGGGTTAGGGAAACCCCCAGTATCAGCCCACGCTGGGGATGAAGGGGTGGAGAGCAGCCCCAAGGAGACAGACTTGGGGATACTGGGGAGTGAGAAGCTGGACATGACTGGGCAATGTCCACTCACAGACAAGAAAGCCACCTGCTTCCTGGGCTGCATCCCCAGCAGTGTGACCAGCAGGACAAGGCGGAGGGATTTTGCCCCTCTGCTTTGCTCTGGGGAGACACAACCCCCCGCCTAGTGCTGCCTCCAGCTCTGGGGCCACCAACAGCAGAAGGACATGGAGCTGTTGGAGCGGGGCCAGAGGAGGCCACGGAGATGCTGGTAGGGCTGGAGCCCCTATGCTGTGAAGACAGGCTGAGAGAGTTGGGGGGTTCAGCCTGGAGAAGAGAAGGCTCCAGGGAGACCTCAGAGCCCCTTCCAGTCCCTCAAGAGGCTCCAGGAGAGAGGGGGATGAGGGAGGGGAGCCCTAGGAGGAGGGGGGAGGGTTTGACACTGAAAGAGGGGAAATTTAGACTAGATAGAAAGAGGAAATTTTTTATGATGAGGGTGGTGAGAGCCCAGCCCAGGTTGCCCAGAGCAGCTGTGGCTGCCCCATCCCTGGAGGGGTTCAAGGCCAGGTTGGAGGGGCCTTGGAGCAACCTGACCCAGTGGAAGATATCCCCAGTCATGGCAAGGGGCAGGACTCAATGGCCTTTAAAAAAGTCCCTTCAAATCCAAACTATTCTATGATTCTATGATTTTAAGATTCTATATTTTATTATTTAGTTAAGGGAATACCTTGTGAGCCTGTTAAGGCCACATTTTTATTTCCTGTGAAAAGTGACCTTGGAATAGAATTCAGAAACAAAAATACATTAAAAGAGTGGGGGAGCTGATTCACTAGAAAAAGGTTAAGTTCTGAGTATTATTACGTGTTGACAATGAGGAAATGTAATAAAAGTCTATAAATATTTGAGGGCTTTTAAGAGTAAACGTGGAGAAAAAAAATTGCTGATTTTCTCATTAAAATATTTATCCTGATGTATCTGTGTTATATATATATATGTCTTATTTCAGACGCTGTAGAGTGGTAACTGTTGTTAACTTTAATTCTTTAATCACAACTACTGTAAGACAGTCAGCTGAGATAAAGGGGTGAAAATATGAACAATAAAATAGAGGGCAATGTTTGGAACTTTTATTTGAAGGCATAATCCACTGAACTATGCTGCAGCATCCCAGATTAATTTCCAGAATCACCATTAACTAGATAGAACTCCAGTGAAATGTATGGTCAGAAACAGCCCTCCTTTGATATGGGGAATAACAAGGTGGAGAAAGGAAGACATGAAGGAACAGAGAAACTCAACATCTGACCCGGCTGTCCCCTTGCTTCAGCATGTAGTACTGTCTACACGTGTACCACTTGCACTGGTAATTAATTTAATAATACAATATCTGTTCTAGGGATCTCTGGCTATTTTTATTTCTCATAGCTTCTTTGATCTTTTACTCTTAACTGCTCCTGGCCTCTCAATGTTTGTGCTAATCTATTTATGTTACCTGGCAAGATTTCAACTCTGAAATTGCTTTGAGTTCTCGAGGTCCCACCTTAGCTTTATACTTTCCTAAACCAAAATTAAAACAAATAAAGCTGAAGCAGGACTGTTTCCAACTGCTTTGGGGGAAGCACGAAGTCATAGGAATTATCACTAGCTTACTCCACATGAGTGGCCCTCACTTGGTTTAAAAACTGAAAGTCCCATGGAAAGGTGGACCCAAATAAGATTAAGTAATCACAATTAAATCCATGATAGAGCCATGTAATAGTTTCAAGTGTATTGATTGCAGATTTATTTCTTATTTCATTGTTTGCACTCATGTACCTTATATTTTGATGACACCAAGCTGAGTGATGCAGTTGACACACCTGATGGACAGGATGCCATCCAGAGGGACCTGAACAGCCTCAGGAAGTAGGCCTGTGCCAACCTCATGAGGTTCAACAAGGTCAAGAGCAGGGTCCTGCACCTGGGTTAGGGAAACCCCCAGTATCAGCCCACGCTGGGGATGAAGGGGTGGAGAGCAGCCCCAAGGAGACAGACTTGGGGATACTGGGGAGTGAGAAGCTGGACATGACTGGGCAATGTCCACTCACAGACAAGAAAGCCACCTGCTTCCTGGGCTGCATCCCCAGCAGTGTGACCAGCAGGACAAGGCGGAGGGATTTTGCCCCTCTGCTTTGCTCTGGGGAGACACAACCCCCCGCCTAGTGCTGCCTCCAGCTCTGGGGCCACCAACAGCAGAAGGACATGGAGCTGTTGGAGCGGGGCCAGAGGAGGCCACGGAGATGCTGGTAGGGCTGGAGCCCCTATGCTGTGAAGACAGGCTGAGAGAGTTGGGGGGTTCAGCCTGGAGAAGAGAAGGCTCCAGGGAGACCTCAGAGCCCCTTCCAGTTCCTCAAGAGGCTCCAGGAGAGAGAGCCACCTGCTTCCTGGGCTGCATCCCCAGCAGTGTGACCAGCAGGACAAGGCGGAGGGATTTTGCCCCTCTGCTTTGCTCTGGGGAGACACAACCCCCCGCCTAGTGCTGCCTCCAGCTCTGGGGCCACCAACAGCAGAAGGACATGGAGCTGTTGGAGCGGGGCCAGAGGAGGCCACGGAGATGCTGGTAGGGCTGGAGCCCCTATGCTGTGAAGACAGGCTGAGAGAGTTGGGGGGTTCAGCCTGGAGAAGAGAAGGCTCCAGGGAGACCTCAGAGCCCCTTCCAGTCCCTCAAGAGGCTCCAGGAGAGAGGGGGATGAGGGAGGGGAGCCCTAGGAGGAGGGGGGAGGGTTTGACACTGAAAGAGGGGAAATTTAGACTAGATAGAAAGAGGAAATTTTTTATGATGAGGGTGGTGAGAGCCCAGCCCAGGTTGCCCAGAGCAGCTGTGGCTGCCCCATCCCTGGAGGGGTTCAAGGCCAGGTTGGAGGGGCCTTGGAGCAACCTGACCCAGTGGAAGATATCCCCAGTCATGGCAAGGGGCAGGACTCAATGGCCTTTAAAAAAGTCCCTTCAAATCCAAACTATTCTATGATTCTATGATTTTAAGATTCTATATTTTATTATTTAGTTAAGGGAATACCTTGTGTTACCATCATTTCCTCTACTTGTCATGACAATGTTAACTAGTTGGTGTTGTGAAAGGGTTAATCACTGCCAAATAGAGGACTTCTCAATTGAATAGGCATTGTCAAAAGGCCACGCTTCTGATTAATAGTCCTGAAGAGTTTTTCCTCCCAACTTCAGCTGGTCGACAGCAAGTCATATCGTATCTTGAAGCTCAGATCCAATGGGGATCCATTTCTGTGGGTAACACCAAACCTGCAGCAGTGTCTGCACTGGTGCTGCCAGTGTTGCCAGCAAGTTTGGACTCTTTTCATTAAAATGCATGAATGGGGTTCACCAATGTCTTTTTATCCATCAGGTTTCCTTACCTCGTGCCTGGGAAAGAGGCGGCTGCTTGCTCGTTGCCCATCTTGCTCTTGCAGTCTCGAGGGCCATGAACCTGGTCACCTAAAGGTATACAAGAAGCATCATCTGCTTTTTTGTGTGACCATTCAATCTAGCCACTGCCTGGCCCTGAGTTATCTCATGGCAATAGGACAAACTCTTAGTCTCTTGTAGAAGAAGATGCATGCTCAACAAAGATGAAAAAAAATACTACGGACATTTCCAGCAGGGGGAATAGCTCTCTGATTTCCACTGCTTAACAGTTCATTGGGGTTTTTTTATTTGAAAACACAAATCTGCATCATTATATTTGAAAGGTATAAATTTAATTACTTTTTTTTTATTTTGAAAAAAAAAATCAATATTTCAAGATTGAAAAAAAAATTCAAAATTTAATCTTTTTCCTTTCCCTGATTCCTCAGTAAGAAGTTAAGCTAACATTGAAACAACTGAGACATTTCAGTACTTTCTTTCTTTCTTTCTTTCTTTCTTTCTTTCTTTCTTTCTTTCTGTCTGTCTGTCTGTCTGTCTCTCTCTCTCTCCCTCCCTCCCTCCCTTCCTTCCTTCCTTCCTTCCTTCCTTTCTCCCTTCCTCTTAGTACCTATACCAGTTATTTTTCTACCTTAAACCTTATCTCTGTTTTCTATTTTGTATTTTAAAAACTAAAGCACCCCATGTATCAGAGAAGATACTTTTTTCAGGTTTTAAAGCACAAAGAGGAATTTGGAGAATAAATTAGAAAGCCACAGCGGTGTGTTTTTAATTCCTGTGGAATACCTGGATTTTAGGTGTAAAGCTGAGGGAATAACAATTATTCTCTCCCATAAACATTTTCTGACTTAGCTCTTTCAAATTCTGGCACATTCTTTTAGTTCTTTTGCTGTTATTATCATACCAATTGTGTGTGCAAATAGAACACATCTTTCTTTCTTTCTTTCTTTCTTTCTTTCTTTCTTTCTTTCTGTCTGTCTCTCTCTCTCTCTCTCTCTCCCTCCCTCCCTCCCTCCCTTCCTTCCTTCCTTCCTTCCTTCCTTTCTCCCTTCCTCTTAGTACCTATACCAGTTATTTTTCTACCTTAAACCTTATCTCTGTTTTCTATTTTGTATTTTAAAAACTAAAGCACCCCATGTATCAGAGAAGATACTTTTTTCAGGTTTTAAAGCACAAAGAGGAATTTGGAGAATAAATTAGAAAGCCACAGCGGTGTGTTTTTAATTCCTGTGGAATACCTGGATTTTAGGTGTAAAGCTGAGGGAATAACAATTATTCTCTCCCATAAACATTTTCTGACTTAGCTCTTTCAAATTCTGGCACATTCTTTTAGTTCTTTTGCTGTTATTATCATACCAATTGTGTGTGCAAATAGAACACATTAAATAAACTCACTGAGAAAAATTTTCAAAAATAAAAATTACTTTCATTTTTGGTTTCGTTTTTGGTCTTTTTTTGCTTTTCCAGACTTCATAGCTTGCCCCTGAAAATCATATAAGCCTTCTCCAGAGTCAGAATTCAACCTCCCCTTTCCTTTGTCTCTGGCATAACCTTTGCTGAAACATCCAATTGATTAACATTTTCTTTGCTACCATTTTGTGCCTGGCACCAGCAGAGTGGCACAGCAAACTGAGCAGGTAGGCATGCAATCCAGTTATCAACTGGAACAAGGAATTAACCATTTGCTAATTAAGGGTTGTCCATAGGGCACTTTAATACCAAGTGTTTGTATCTTTGCAAAGTAAATATTTATATACATTGTTCATGTAATTTAATTCATGTCTCTCTCTCTGTGTGAAATATATGAAGGTTATTTATGGCCTGTGTCAAAAGGTTATGAACAAATTGAATTTATGGAGAGGGATCACCATTCCCTTGTGATTACTGCAGTAGCTGTTTTTCAAGTGTTTTAAAAAAAATACAGCAGCCAGTCTTATCCTGTTTGGTGTTCACCAAAACCAATGGCTCTTAAGTTCCTGGCAGTAGTTCTTTAAACTAAATGAGTTTATCTGGCACTAAAACAGATGAGGAGATGTTGCAACATCAATTACTACAGGGAAGAAACTTCTATGTGTGGACCACAAGTTGGAAAACCACATGTGAGCAGTGTTTCCACTTACAGGAGACAATCACCTGGAAATCCACAGGTCTGTCCTTATCCTCTCGTTCTGCTGCAAGGAGCTCTCTGTCCTACAATAAATGGTCTGATGCTCATGTTTTGAGAGAAAGAGGGACATATTCGGTCCAGCAAGCATTCTTCTTCTTCTGGGCCAATCTCTGGAGCACATCCTTGAGCCAGTAGAAGAGTTGTTGGATAACACACAAGGTCACCTAAGGGCACAACACAACATCAGTTCCTGTACTTCAGATAATCATCAATCTAGAGCAGAAAAGTAACAATTTTCTTCCCAATTAATTTTCTTTCTACCCCTTTACTATGTCAGGAAAGTGACAGACCCTCAACAGACTACCAAATGCCATTTTAATAACTAATATTCATCAATGAAAGGAAATGTGAATGTTACCAATAACTGTGCTTGTTGTACTAAATGTCTGGAAAGATAACATGCACAAAGACCTTTCTGCTTCTCTGTCCCACTCCAATAACTTTTTTCCATGTATTTGCATCAAATCATATTCTGCTACACTTCATGACAGGTCAAATGTGCCTAATCTGTTTTCACATTAAAAGTTGTTTGCAAAGTAGTACCAGTGTGTTTCTTCTGTGTGTTTTTTTCACTAAACATTAGCAAGTCTTCTGTAGGACATGCTACCAGCCCCTCGGTTTGTTACTGCAATTCTTGTTTATTAAATGCATTAAAAACATGAAAATGCAGAAGAAAATTATCTATTTGAAAATGACTTTTTAATTATTTATTTAGGATTTTAACAGAGTTTTAACATTTGGCTATCAAAATTCAGGTTCTTTATTATATTTTGGTACATTTATTTTTAAAGAAATTTTGAAATGAAAGTAGAATGATGCCTTTTCTTTTATGATCAAGACACATGTTTTTAACTAGCCTGTAACCTCATCTATTGCACAGTAATTACAGACGATGCAACAGTTTAGAGTATTTACATAAGCTGATCAGACACAGTAAACAATCAGCAAAAACTTTAATAACATCAGATTAAATCTTGAAGTTATTAATTCATTTTTAGTCAGTACTTACGTCTATAAACATTCGGGGGAGTGATTGCAAAGAGTAGGTGATGACCTCAAGATTTCATCCAACGCTAATAGATTTAGTCTGAGGTTTCTTCTTTGCTGTTAGACACTAAACAAGCCCGTCAGCAATTAATCTGAATATTTGCTTTAATATAGTTCTTTTATGACTGATGTTTGAAGATATTTCCTTGAACTGGAGATATTTTAGTGGTTTAGTCTCATAATAAGTATTAAACATAACATAATATAGATTATCAGACTGAATGGTTTTAATAAACTTAGAGTTAATTTGCTGAAAAATTATAATTACTTCTTTTTTAATCAGAACTTGACTTCATGAAGGGGGGAAATTAACTTTCTACGTATGGCCAAATCTTTCTCTTCAATTCCTCTTCAATGTAGCCTTGCCTGAGCGAGGGTGGAATAGAGATTTGACTGTGGTCAATGTAGCGCCCAGAAAAATTATGTCTTTTCCTGGTGTTACAATCAAGACAGTTACTATTCAACATTGTGCTTCATTCTAAATGCATTTGCCAGAGCATACTGTTTATAAACTATCAGTACCCAATTTGTCCTATTTGTAAAGAATGGGGCAAAAGCAATTCTTGGTTACTATAAGTCAGCTGCTTTTTTTTTTTTGCCTTTTTTTTTTAATGTTCCAAAGGTTATGACACCAGACTGTTTGTATCTTTGTACCAGGTGCATAAATGATCAAATTAGGAGAAGTAGGATTATTTTTTTTTACTCTGAAGTTTACACAGTAAATTATTATTCAAGAAGTGCAGAAGAGCAGAGATCTTCCTTTGAAGAGTCTCTGAGAGGAGAGATGTGGTTTGATGCCAGGTCAAAAGAGTTGCCCATCAGAAGGCCCCAAGGATGAGGTTTCTGACAGAAACCCTAAATTTATTTGAAGACCAGTGTCTGTCACCACCCACAACAGTTATCCCAGAGCTTTACATGGAGGATTTTTTTCACAGAGAGTCCTTAGTATTTTATATTATTAATTTGAGTTTGATTATAATTTTCTTGTCTATTTTGTTCTGGATTTTTTTTGGCATATGGGGAGTGGATAAAGTCCGTACTTAGTTATTTAACTCTGGTTACTCTAACAAGTAAGTCTACAGACTGCAGGTGGATAGCAGAGGGATTTTGGCAGTGCATTCAACATATTGAGAAAACCCATTTTTCCTACTAATATTTTCCATTCTAAGTCAGTCTCATGCCAACCTTTGTGGTGACTGTCACAAAAAATGAGGGGGAATAGGCTGATGAGAGATCCTTTAGAAATCAAACCATATGAAGAATTTTATTAAAATGCATTGTATACTGAGTCCAGTTCCCTATTGTTCCTCCCACTACACAGCCGCTGCAATGTGGGCTAGAAATTACCAAAGCTGAACTTTGGTAATTTCTATGTCAACCGCTTATAATGAGTAATGGCTATGTCAACATGGGCAGCGTATCCCACGCTCCAACCCCAAACTGCTGGCTGCCCCACCCAGATGCCTCTTGGACCCTTAAAATGCAAGACTGATGTTTGAGCCCTGGCCCTCTGGGACCGTTGGCAGGTCCTCAAGAGCTGAGCCCTGGGTACTCCTCGTGGCATCCCCCGGCAGCCAAAAATCACCAGGACTCACATCCAACCAAAGCAAGTCAACGGCCATCGCTGGGAGTTGGTGTCCCTTCTGGACAAAGAGTTAAATTCTTTGCCAACAGCTGTCCCCTGGCATTAAAGTCCTCCCTGCCCCTTCCTCCCGTGGCTGGCAGGCAGCAGACCAGGCTGCATTTAGATAGCACACTTTTCACAAAAATTAAGTCCGTGTTCTATAGCAGCGCTTCAGATTAATATATTTTTATTTCCTAAAAGCCTGTCATTTTAAAGTAGCTCATATATATGTATATATGTAGAAGAGATCATATACATATATAATCTCTATGACTTAAAAGGCAAGAAATCATATATATACATATACATGCGTGCACGTCTGTGTGTAATCCCTCCTAATTTAAAGGACGGCACGAAAAGCTTGTCAGCATTTTGCTACAGAGGTGCAAGTGAGAGATGGAAGTGGCTTTTTTTAACACCTGGAACGTCACCCACCACCTGGAGAGGCTCAGCAGAGCCACCTGAATGTGAGGTCTGGACATGAATTTCTGGTGTGTGGTCCCAGAGCTCCAGCCCAGTCGGTCAGAGGCACGTGGTGTAGCTTTGGCTGGCATCTTACACCCACCTGGCATCAGAATGGAGTCCTAGGCAAGGTGCAGAGTGATAGAGAGTTGGTCCCACCGACCTTAACAAAAATCCCAGGGAGGGGAAAAAAAAAACCATCGTTAATCATTTGTGGAGCCCTGAGATAAGTACGGTGGTTTTTTATATCTTAAAAATGTTCCAGGACATGCCAGTTTAAAACAAAAGAGCTCCAGTACAGCCAAGAGGAAAGTATACAACAGAAATAAAACCATATGGAGACTCTTAGAAACAAGCTAGAATTTGTCTCCTACAAAGCCCTGAACACGTGGTCCCCTGTCCCTCCAGCATCTCTCAAGGAAAGGGTGGTTCTGGGCTTCCTTCTCCAGATGGGGAGCTCAGCAGCATGTTCCCATTCCAGTACTTCTTCCAAAACCACCACCTTGTCCCACTTAGATCTCTGACACCTGCTATGGAATATTTCAATTTGCTCTGTCTCACTTGAGGTGGGGGAGGAGGGGGAAAGGACACAGGCATCATCAAAAGTTGTGCCCGAGGCTGCATCAGATGCTCAGGGCAGTGATGGTGACTCTGCACTGGGCACTGGTGAGGCCTCACCTCGAGGGCTGTGTTAGTTCTGGGCCCCTCACCACAGGAAGGACTTTCTGGTGCTGGAGCGTGTCCAGAGGAGAGCCACCAAGCTGGTGAAGGATCTGGAGAACAAGTCATACGAGGAGAGGCTGAGGGAACCGGGCATGTTTAGTTTGGAAAAGAGGAGGCTGAGGGGAGACCTCATTGCCCTCTACAGCTCCCTGAAAGGAGGGTGTAGAGAGGTGGGGGTTGGCATCTTCTCCCAAGGGAATCTTGACAGGAGCAGAGGAAATGGTCTGAAGTCAGGACAGGGGAGGTTTAGATTAGATATTGGGAAGAATGACTTTCCTGAGAGGGTTGTCAGGCACTGGAACGGCCTGCCCAGGGAGGTGGTGGAGTCACCATCCCTGGAGGTGTTTAATAAACATGTAGACGTGGCACTTCAGAGCATGCTGTAATGCCTGAGATTGTTGGGTTGTGCCTGTTTGCAGGGGGGAGGAATGTGATTGGGGTTTTTTTTGGTTTGTTTTTTTTTTTTTTGTGGTTGGACTCAGTGATCTCAAAAGTCCCTTCCAACCATGAAGATTCTGTGATTCTTCCAAAGCAGGCAAGCTCTTGCGTCGCTTGCTGAGGGTTTTGTGTCATGGACACCGTCCAAGGAACAGCTGCATCAGTACAGGTGCTGACACCCCAAATTCGGTGAAAATGGAAAGAGTCATGGGATTCCTCAGGCCAGCCTTTCTTTCATGATCATCTCTGTTATGACACGTTATGTTTTGAAGTTGGAGTGCTGCTGCTGTTGCACCTAAGTAGCCTGTGGCACTGGGTGAAGAGGAGCCTTTTCCAAGCCCCACACAAGGAAATACATTAAAAACATAAACCATGCTATCCAATACATATTTGTGTGTTCAGGTGGCTTATTGGGATGTACCCTATTGTGACACCATGAAATCTATTACATACATCTGTGGTTGTCTAATGTCATACAGCTTTCATTAAACACATGTTGGCTGAGGTTCTCCTACCCTTCCAGATCCAGCTTGGTTCGCATAGACCAGAAATTTCAGTCTAGATCCTTCATTGTCCTACTCCTTGTCAAGAGTGGAAGATCCTGGCAGCTGTTACATCCCACTTCAAGTTACAGGATCTTCAAAGACTTGTGGACAAACTCGGGATTGCCACAGCTTTATGTCTATCCATGCAGGGGCCAAACTAAGTGCTCCAAAAAAGTTCACGTTCAACACATTTTGTGACAGGAAAGAAAGGGACATTACAGATGCTGAATATGCTGAGACCATCCAACAGGGACTGATCTCTGCTGTAACCACCAAGTGGGAACACTGCAAGAACAATGCAAAGGGTCTGGGGTGCCCCTTAGAT